CATTAAACAACACATGCGGGTATAAGGCTTAGTAATAAAAAAAGGATTCACCTATATCTTTTATGCCTTAAGTTCTGATTGTGACAATAGATACCAATATCTGAGAGCAAAAGAAGGAGTTCTTACAGCTCATCTGTTACAATGCTTCTGGTGCCTGCGTATCTGTGGTATTATTAATTCATCTGTCTAGAGGGCATCTAGCCCTGCAGGAAACAAAAGACCTTCTGACATTTGAAAGTAAGACACAAAAAGAAAGATACTGAATGTCTTTAATATCTCCAGTCTGCAAAGACTCCGCAGAGACAGGGAGGTAACTTGAATTTTGTCCAAGAAAAACAGGCAGAAATCTCTAAGCGATTTTATTCCACAACACAACCATTCCTGCTCCTAAAACATTTTCTGAGAAGTAAAAAACCAGACAAATGTCAATCAGACACTTGTCTAATGACATGGAAAGCAAAGGACTGGCTCCTTTGAGCATCTGTGGGACAGGAGGTGGTTCCTGGTTAGTCCCTTTCTCTTCCACTGTCACCAAGCATTGAGGCAGGAACACAGGGCAAGACGGAAGACCAGGAGGAGTAGTGGGCATCAGCTTCTCACCTACCTTCAGTCTGTAAACCAAGCAAGTGGTAAGGCATATATGGGGAATAGCAGGACCAACTGCAAAGGGAAAAGTCTCTGTCCCCATTCAGGAGGGTTAATGAGGATTACTGTTGTACAGAGGAATATTAGACGCAACAGTGAATCATAATGAATCAAGTCTTAATTCTTCAAGCAGTGAGTGCTAGAGTGTTTCAAGGGGTTCTGGCATATATCAGTAATCAGATAATTTGCACCTGGAGAAAGATAACATGCCTGGGATTTGGCTGCAAATTTGATTAGCCTAAACTCATAGCTTTCTTCTTTGGACATCCTTGCAGTTATAAAGCCAGTAATAATATGTGCCAGGATAGAAATATATGAGAGGATAATAAATGATTCTTCAGGTGCACGGGAATCTCACAGGCGTGATGAGAATAACTTCAGTGGAAAAAATAAGCAGAAGCCTACCAGATCACCTTGTTGTAATGGTAATAGATGTACAGCGTGTTCTTTCTACATCCCTGAGGCAAGAAACTCCATATAGTAAATACAAGACTTCATTCTGCTTCTGCTGAAAACAACTGGAGTTATGCCACAGCCTTCACCTGGAGTAGCTTTGAGGTCCTGGGAAGCAATAAACACAAAAATCTGGGCAAAGAACTGGTTTCCTGGAAACGCACACATCAAATATGCATATCTTTCCTTCCTATCTCTATTTTGGCTCTCTTTTTCTCCTGTTTACTATGAAGACCATCACTGGTTTTTCAAAAGGCCTCTGGCTGTTGTGGTGCAAGCTGTGATACTCAGTCTGCTTCACAGCAAAGATACCCAAACTGGAAAATAACCCTGAAATTAAATTGTCATCACTTTCCTTGACAGAGGATAGAGACATGGCTGGAGATCAGGGTGCATGCCAGACCCAGGATGAGTGATCCCAGCACAACTCGGTGAGCATCCAGGAGCAGAAGGACCGATTGCTCCACAGCCACCAGCAGCTCCGACATTGGGCACATGCAGTTAACTTTTCCCAGCACCACTTTAACTTCCCAGGATCAGGAAACTGAGCTTGGGGATGCTTCTGGATTATTGTTTTTTTAATTTGGTAGTAACAGCTACTGCAGACGAGTCCATCTTCACGGAGAACTGGAGACTCCAACTGCTCTAACAGCATGCAGAAAAGGTGAACTGAATGCCAGAGAACAGGACAGATGTTAGGAAGCTTGTGTATAACAATTCTAAGGGCATTATTAACTGAAATAAGCAATAATTAGATAATTTGGAAAACAAAAGTGGTGTTGTCATTGTAACTGACAGGACTAACAACAGCCGTGTGTTGGACTGGACTGCTGAAACCTCAGACTCAGGAGAATTTTGAATGATTGGCTCCGCATGTCAGTGTGTGACCTTTTTACCCATAAACAAAATCCTGCATCTAGCAGGAGGCATGTTCTCTATGTCCCATGTCCTGCCCATGTGTTCCCCATGTGAGCAGCCAGCCTTCAGCTCCGTGGAAAAGGAGCCACAGGCAGGATCAGGAGATCACAGAGCCCACTGTGGGCAGAACACAAAGCCTTCTTACTTGTTTTTTAAATCAGGTGTAACACACACAGCATGCAGAATGAGAAAGATGATAGCTTAAAATATTGTCTAAAATCTTTGCCTGAAACCTAAACTGACTTTTTTCCATTTTTTTTAAATTTTTTTTTTTTACATTTCTGTGTCAACATCTGTCAGGAAGAATCCAGATGTGAGAAAACACTTTCCTAAGAGCAATCTGTCAGTGCTGAAAATCCACCAGTTCTAAAATTCAGGCTTGGAAAGTTTTTTGTTTCTTTTCCCCATTGATTCCAGTTACATTGCCACACACAGGTGCCCCGTTGCCAGAGCAGGCATCTAGGAAGCCATGCTCAGAGCCCACCCAGGCTGGCTTGCATCCACAGCCCTGCAGCGTGGCGGTGGGCTCCGCTCTGCAGCAGCTGTGGCGTGGCTGCAGCCATCAGAGCTCTGCCCATCGTTTCAGTCCTTGGTGGTGAAGGGATGGGTACGTGCAACGTGTCCCCTTTGGCTGGATGTTGTGATACTATCTTGGTTGAGTGCCGTTTGAGAAGACTGACGGTGCCTGTGGGCTTTGAGGGCGATTCAGTGGTAATGAGAAGCCAACACCAAGGTCCCCCTGAGCTTCCACGTCCCCGCTGCCGGCACAGCGCTGCCTGCCCACACCGCCTGCGCTGGGGGTTACCTCGGGCAGGGGCCGCTCTCACACCCGGGAATGACTCCGGGGAGCGGAGGGGGGCGGTAGGGGACCCCCCCGGGGCTGTTTTATGAATGGAGGGGTGGCCACGCCCCCGAGCCCCGCCGCGCCCCCGGATTGGCGGCTGCGTCCCGCGCGGCTGCACGTGCGGCGCTGAGCAAGCGGTCCCGCTCCCGGTCCCGGTCCCGGTCCAGGTCCCGGTGCAGGTCCCGGTCCCGGTGCAGGTGGAGCGGTAAGTGAAAGGGAGGTGGGGAGAGGAGGGAAGGTCGTTGTCATTGGGGAGAAACTGCGTGTAACTTGTGCTTGCAACGGGTGTTAACGAGGGAAGATTAACCCGGTTCAGCCAGTGGAGCGCCGGTTTCTGTCCAGCATTACAGCGCGGGTCCGCCAGAGCCCTGCTGGAAAGATGCCTTTAAATTCGTTAGAGGGGAAGGTTCTGGTTCTTCTCTGCTCTGCATCGGGAAGAAATCCTTGCTGCAGCAGCTGGGAGCGCTCACCCGGGCTTTCTGACCCAGGAGCTGGAGAGCTAGGGAGGTTGCAGTCAGGTAGGCTCTTCCTCTCTGCCCTTCGGATTCTATCAAGTTCTAAAAACTGAAAGGCAGGCCCTCCTGTTGCATAACACCGTGGTATTCCAGCTCCTCAGGATCGTCTGCGTTTAGCCAGACCATTCTTCAGGGAAACAGGACAGTGCTCTCTACTGAGAGGATTGATTTTCAGTGTAGCATGAGCATCTCAGCTGTGGTTTACACAGAGATGAAAGTGGTTCAGCTGGAGCTGACTAAAATATGATTTGTTTTTGTTACACAGGTGCTGCATTGCTCTTAGGTCCCTCTCATTGCCCGCTGAAAGCTGACATTCACCATAGAGGATGACATCCTCGGTACTTACTACAGTGGATAATAAAGAGGTGTGGAGTCCTGCATGGCTTACCTAGGTGTGGGATAAACTTAAAGGCTCTCACTGGAGTAGAGAGTCCATCTGCTATCCTGCCCCAGAAGCCCAGAGGGATGTAGTTCTGGATTCTCTCATTACCTGTGGAAGCACTAAGTCCTTTCTGACTCGTGCCAAGCTCACAATGTTCTCAGAGATGTTCTGCTACAATGAGTCCTGTGTTCCAACCATCTTTTTCACACAAGGTGAACAATCCCTTCCCCTGGTTTTGGCTCTGCTCCCCATTTCATGGCAGATCTCCAGGTTCACATCTTGTGAAAGTCAGAGTGGAACCTGGTCTAGGGCCGGTCCTGATGCTCCCAATGCCATCAGCACTGAGATACTAACAAGGAGATAAGTTACCTGTTGCACTACAGCTGCTTTGCTCCAGCAGAACCCGTGAGCATTTGTCATGCTCTCTGTCCTACCCAGGCTTCTTTCTCTCACAGACTTGCCCAGTAAACACTTGTAATCTCCTTCCACCCCAGCAAGCTACTTTAACATCCATTTGCTTGTGAGAGGCATCCTCTTGTAGGTCCTTTGGTATTCCCCATGCTCCGCAGAGTAAGCAGACAAGCTAAAGTGGATTGTATTGTGGAATGCATGGGTATAAACACCATCAGCTCCCTGTACCTTATTTCCCCCAGAAAGCAGTTGATCTCTGACCCTTGTGGTGCCTGCAGCTGAGGCCACCTGTGTGGCTGAGCATTGTGCTGGTTTGGGGGTGCTGGGTGTCTGTTTCAGGCCATGTGGTGGGTTGGCTGTCCTGGGCAGCCAGCCAGTCCACTCTGCAGGAAGTATCAGGGAGCCTCTTAGTGCTCTGAAAGCTCTGCTTACTAATGCCTTGCACTGTGCGAGGTCCATTGATTTGTGACCATGGGGCTTGATGGGAATGGTGGGTACCAAACAAAAACCAATTGCCCTCCTGGAGAGCCTGACAGCTTCTAAATGACTTTCCCCTCCCATATATTTATATATGTATATGGTTATAGGTAGAGCATATCTATAAATACCAGTGTGCATGCTAATAGGTTCCACCTAACATCAATAGCTCAGCAAAATCTAAAATCACCAGAAATATCTAATGGGTATCAGTAAAGGTGAGGAAGCAGAGGGTTTTTTTGTTTCTAGGGAATTGTTCTTGTGTCTCTGGCACTGTGTGTTGGTTTGTTTGTGTATGGTGTGAAGACTGTGAGTTCCGTGCCTCTACTGCTAACTTTTTGCCTTTGCAGGAAAGACCATTTCCTCGCTGAAACAGAAACACTGAATGCAGAATGACATTGCTGTTTGGGGGAGAAAATGTGAGATAGCCTGAACTCAACTTCTGATGTGATTTCCAGGTTCTGAATCGCTTTAGGATAATTGCTGGTGTTAGATGCAGACAAAAGCTATCTCTGCTCTTGAAAATGATCCCCAGATGGCTCCACCTGTACATTCCAACAGAAAAGAACTGGCTGCTTTGAAGTAGAGGATGAAAGCACCAACAGCGCAGCCTTCTGTGGAATTTGGAGGAAAAATAGACTCAGGTGAGAAGAAAGAAGAAAAAGCTGACATGGGATTAAAACAACTGCAGACCTTGCCTGAGGTTTGCCTACAGGTGCTGCATGTAATAATGAGTTCTTCTTTCCAGCCTGCCTGTGGAGCTATTGTTCTTCCTGATACACAAAGGGGTTGAAAGTGTGTGGTCCCAAACCAGCCCCTTTCCAACATGCCAGTTGGAACTGCTCTCCAGTGCTGCCTCTGCACGGGGGGAGCCCATCACACTATGGAAGTTTCCTCCAGCTTTTCATCTTAAGGTGGTGTTTGTAGTGTCAGCTTCATCTTCACCAGCCTCCTAGAGAACCAAGAAGTTCAAGGTGATGGAACACTTCCTAGGTCAGCTGGAGCTGTGATCCGGGTGGCCTCGAGCTTAGTGAAGGCTCAGGTGAACCCACCATGCCTCGCTTGCTGCTTCAGTTGTACAAGTCACATATGATGGGGTTTCTTGAGGAGTTTGACCACTACACTTCCTTGCCCAAACTCATGTCAATCTACCAAGCAACCAACAGGACCATCTTCAACTGGACAGACAGCCATATTGTTGAGTGGGAGAAATTCGCTGAGCTGGCTAAATACGAGCCAGAATCCCAGAAATCGACAGTGAAAGCACTCCTTATTGTGGCATACTCAGTCATTATCACCATGTCTCTCTTCGGGAACATGCTGGTGTGCCATGTGGTGCTGAAGAACAAGAGGATGCACTCAGCTACCAGCCTTTTCATTGTCAACCTGGCAGTGTCTGACATTATGATCACGCTGCTCAACATGCCTTTTACCCTGGTAAGTGTCCCCTGTGCTGTCCCCTCAGTCAGGAGATGATTCTCTCATGAGAGCACTGCTTGGTGGTCACACCCTCTCTGTGCATGCTCTTCTAGGACTGAGGTGTGAACCCAATTCAATCAAGTCTAATAGACAACTCTGCCAGGCAAGTAAAACACTGTTCAGCACCCTGGGGGCTCCGTTTGCTCTCTTAGAATCTGTATCTCCTAAAAGATCCTAAAGTCTCTCCAGATATACCACCAAACCACAAGAAATTCTTGGGGAAAGCAGAGTAAGTGTCTGGATGAACATGTAATGTATTCACAGGAGAGCACTGGAGGGTCACACTTAAACAACTTGAATGACAGTCATACCCAGGACATTGGAAGAAAGTAGTCGAGCTTTTCAGACCTGCCACTTGGGTTAAGTCTTCAGTGAAAGCTCTGCAGACCAGAAAGGAGGGGTCTTTGTTCACTTTTTCCAAATATAGTTGTTAGTATAATTAAAAAGTTGTTACTGCTGTTCATAAATGATGCTTATATGAATAGGCCAGGAGGGCTGCAGCAGCACCACTCATTTAATCTGTGGGGCTTGACCTTTAAAACTCTACTGTAAATGTTTCAATATCCAGCATAGCAGACCTTTCTCTGGGTTTCAGGTGGAGCTGCCCTGCCATGTGGGCTTCCCCATGGGGTTGTTTTCAGAACATCTGGCTGATGACCTGTTCTCTCCCACCCCCAGGTTCGGTTTGTGAACAGCACGTGGGTCTTTGGTAAGGCCATGTGCCACATCAGCCGCTTCGTGCAGTACTGCTCCCTGCACGTCTCCACACTGACACTGACAGCCATCGCTCTGGACAGGCACCAGGTAAGGTGCCACCTGATCGATGTTCCAGTGCAAGGCTCCTCCCAAGCCCCTGCCAGTCTCAGTTAAGCCATGGTTTCAAGGTGGCTGAATCTTGGGGATTAAACCCATATCCAGTGAGAAGGCTTTAGAGCTAAATTCAAAGATCCCCCTCATGTATCAGGGGTGGGAAGGCTTGATGGGCTTCCGTAGGCTCTAGGTACAGGGCAGGAGGGAAAACACAAAATATGGCACTGCACGCCCCAGCTTTCAGTGGAAAAGGGTGAGGACACCTTTTTCATGTCATTTGAAGAGCCAAGTCCAACCTAGCTCCCAAGTATGGCAGCGCAAATTGGTTCAGGAGGTGGTGTTATACATGGGAGGCCTTGAAAGACAGCTAAGCCAATGCGGAGTGCAAAGTGTTCCTTTAGCTGTACAGGGAACTTTTCCAAGCTTTTTAGTTTACCACCCAAAACCCATAGAACACCAGTAGCATCCTGAGTTACGTTCTGGTTTAGCTGCCCATTTGTTTTTTTGCTCTTTGTTTCCCATTGGGCATCATCAAGTTGCAGGAGAGATGGAGAAAAAAGAAATTCTGAGACTAAATCCCTGTGGTGCAACTATGGGACTAATGCTAGACCAGTACAAACAGGAGTGGCAGAGTGGGAAATCTCTGTTGGAAATCCTGGGAAGAGACTTAAGAGCTGGAAGAAGACCATGCCCAGCATCTGCCTGCAGCATGGCCATGTTAGCTGCCCACTGGGATAAACACTCCCTGCGTTGCCAGTACCTGAAGGAGAAGGTAGTTCAGGCTTTCATGTAATCAAACAACATTTTCCAGGCTCTCAGATTTTATAACCTCTTTACCTTTTCATTTAACAAAGAAAATTTCATAGAAGGTGAGTTAATGCCTCAAAAGAGGGTAGGAGGCATTCAGCTTCCTAGGTTCAGCTAAACAGAAGAGGTTCCTTTATGTAGTCCATATAGAATAAACAAACATACCCAGTCTTTCACCAACAGAGAGGCTTATGTAGATGCCTTCTTTTTTCTCTGCCTAATGTAACCCACAATTTAAGGAAAACGGTCCTCACAAAACCAAAACAGGAAAAAGTTCATTTGAAAGCACTTCTGAGCAGAGTGAAAAGTTCAGTGTTTCCCCCTTTCCAGGTCACTCAAATAAGCAGAACATTTCCCTAATTGCAGCTGTCATTTTCTTAACAGCATTAGATCACAACGAAAAATGCCTCTGCTGTGTGTGTTGGTGAAGGGACACTGCATTCCTGTGTGACAGGAGTTGTGGTGATGTCTCTGTTGCAGGTCATCCTGAACCCACTGAAGCCGAGGATGTCACTAACAAAGGGAGCGCTGAGCATCTGTGTTATTTGGATGATGGCAACCTGTTTCTCCCTACCCCATGCTATCTACCAAAAGCTTTTCCAGTATAACTACAGGTGAGCTGTTTCCCCTTCCAGGTGAGCATGGAGAGGCCTGATGGCCCTTTGCAGCAGTGGCTCTCAGTGGTGAGCATGGCTGGAAGGGCTCCAAGGCTTGGGGAAGGACACAGTGGAATCAGCAGGAGTTGTGTGTGGATGAAACCTCACTTCCCAATGCCAGCATTTTGCAGGAATGCCAGACTCAAGGCCAAGGGGATAATCTTAAGTGGACAGTATTTTCAACCTGAGAGATCTGTTCCAGGAAGCAGGGAAAGGGCGCAGTAACAGGCAGCAGGAGAAAGAGTATTGTAAATATTGGGCTTCTCTATGAATGAATCATGAGCAGCAGGTGGAAGGAGGTGATCCTGCCCCTCTACTCTGCTCTTGTGAGACCTCACCTGGAGCATTGTGTGCAGTTCTGGTGTCCTCAACATAAAAAGGACATGGAACTGTTGGAACAAGTCCAGAGGAGGCTGCGAGGATGATCAGGGACTGGAGCACCTCCTGTATGAAGATGGGCTGAGGAAGTTGGGGCTGTTCAGCCTGGAGAAGAGAAGGCTGCATGGAGACCTCATAGCAGCCTTCCAGTATCTGAAGGGGGCCTATAGGGATGCTGGGGAGGGACTCTTCATTAGGGACTGTAGTGATGGGATGAGGGTTGATGGGTTCAAACTGAAACAGGGGAAGTTTAGGTTAGATATAAGGAAGAAGTTCTTTACTGTGAGGGTGGTGAGGCACTGGAATGGGTTGCCCAAGGAAGCTGTGAACGCTCCATTCCTGACGGTGTTCAAGGCCGGGTTGGATGGAGTCTTGAGTGACATGGTTTAGTGTGAGGTGTCCCTGCCCATGGCAGGGGTTTGGAACTAGATGATCTTAAGGTCCTTTCCAACCCTAACTATTCTATGAGTCTGTGATTCTATGACAAGCATCTTTCTCCTTGCTGCACAGCCAGTTTTCTCCCATCAGCGTGGCAGGGAGAGCGTTTGACTGCTTTTTATTGCTGTTTGTATATGAAAGGTTACACAAGATGGGAGTGCAATCTGGGGCTCCACAGCCCTTCCTTACTCGTGCTTGTGATTAATACCTCTCTGGGGCGTAAATATCTTCACCCACTTAGACATTATAAACAAAGTGTTGGGTTACTCCTGTACTTGCATTGCTTCACCGCTGTGGTCAGGGTATTACTGAACAAACTGCTTAGGAATGAACAACCACCATCGGTTTCATGGCACCCACCTCTGTTCATCCTTTAGCACAGCCAGAGGAAACTTAGCCACACATTGGCCTGAGGCAGCTCAGTGTTATAAGGACTTCCAGGACATGCTATTCTTATCCCTGCTTTCCATTGAATGAAAATTCCAGTTGTGATATTGCTGGTAATGGCTCACTGCAGCGCCAGGGTCTCCTGAGAAGTCCCACCAGGGAGCTGTTGGGGTTCTAGGGACAGGAGAACATGGGCTCCGCCAGCATTTTTCTGGTGCAGTGCACAGCGGTGCAGTAAATTCCATGGTCATGTCAAAATTTACCAAATCACAGCATCCTGGTTGGTTCTCAATGAGCCTCTTCCCTGAAATGGTCTTGAGCCTCTTCTCACAGCTCTGTGCTCCTGCTTTGGAGGGTGAAATGAATTTTTAAGCTCTGCAAGCACCAAAGCATCACCCTTGCTAGTCCTCAGCTGTCCTCCAGCCCAGACACCATGTCGAGCTCAAGGGATTCCCCAGACAGCTGATTCCTGGGGAATATGGTGAGGGATGGCTGCCCCACTCCGGCCCCACTGCTTCTGCTCTTTCCCTATGGCTTTGCTCTTCAGCACGGCTATGATGGGTCTGACTCTGCACCGTGGTGTCACCTTGAGTGCCATGCTTGCTTCCCCATAGCAGATCTCCTGTTGCTCTGGCGGGTCCCCTTTGGCAAGCAGAGCCAGGGGCTGGGTCACTTGAGCCAGCAGGGAAACTGGATCCTGGGGAGGAAAAGGTCAGGAGCGTGGCTCAGAAAGGATGATCATCCCTTCTGCGCCAGGTCCCCTCTTGAGCGTTATTGTCTCCAGGGTGCTTACTTGGCTGAGCTCTGCTCCTGCACCCGTTGTCATCCCTCCATCAGCTGCGCATGGGGCCTGCTCGCAGCCGTCCGTTTTCCAGCAATCTTCTATTTGTGGCACAAAAGCCAGCACCAGAGATTGAAAACAGGATATTAAAGATATTAATGAATACTGCAATGAATAAATGCAGCTTGATGGGGGCTGAAGTCTGTGCTGAATACAAGTGAGCAGAGGACAAGGGTTGAAGAGAAAAGGGCAAAATGGAACAAGAGGAAGAAAAGAGGAGGTGAAAAGGAGAAAACATCTGCTGGAAATACATGTGCAAGTGCTCCTTTCTCCTAATGCTTCATCCAGACATCTGTGGGATGCAGAGGGTCCCTTGCAGAGCACCCACTTCCCTCGCATCAGCATGGCAGGGAGAGCGTTTGACTGCCCACATGGGCTTTTTATTGCTGTTTGTATATGAGAGGCATTGCTCTTCAGATGGTGCTGGGGTGCATCAGCAAATATCTGCTGCCAGCCAGAACGTGTGAACAGAGCCTGGATCTGCTGCGTTGGACATGAAAGATTGATGAAGCACTGTTAAAATGAGCTACTGCGTAGAGTTGAACTCAGTTCTTTTGTTAGTTAACCATCAGAAGTTAAACTGTCAGGCTTAAGTTAAACTTGAGTTAAGCAACCAAGTTTTCTAGTAATCACAGCCATTTTAAGATGTTGCAATTGGATTTTAAAAGTCGGTCTCCCAAAAAGCTGATGGGAAGAGGATGGTCAGTATGGGAAGGAAGGAGTGCTGCCCATGCACGTGGCATCATGGCTATGAGCCTGTGAGGCTTTCACACAGCCCCTGGCCCTTTCCCTTCCTCTTTTGTCCATAAGGGTTTTGACTTCCCAGCTGCTGCAGCAGTTTTCTGCTGTGGCTGAAGGGGTCCTGTACCTGCTCGGGTCACAGAAAGTTGTGTGACTGCACATCCAACCTGGCAAAGGCAAGTCAGAGCTGTCACAAGTGCCCTGCAGTGGTGATCCCAGCACATGCTGTGACACTGTCGCATCCTGAAAAGAGCTGTTCAGTTGTGCTTGTCCAGACCCAGTCCACACAGCCCAAATGCAAGAGGAGTGACACATCCTGGGCTGGATTTCCAGGTAGGCTCATTCAGGGGAACCTGGGAATAATGTGCCTTTATTCTAGGTGTGTAGGAATCACTCATGGGCCTGGAGAAAAGCAGGAGTTTGGTGAGACTCACCTACTGCCTTCTTTCCTCCTGCACTGGGTTTTGGGGGAGGAGAAGATGGGCACGGCGGTGCCTCTGTGCCTATGCACACAGGGAAGGGACAGATGCAGCTGGATCAGTGCTGCTTTCACAGTACCCCCTTCTGTAAGAATGGGCCCGCGGAGGTGACATTTGCCATGTCACATGAGTGCCTCATTCAATTAAGATCTGTGGCTTCTAAGAGGAATCTCCAGTTTGTCTTTCTAAAAGTTTCTTTTATCAGACTATAGTTTAAGGAAAATGAGGAAATATACTTTAGCTAGTCTTACCCTCAGTGAGACACCGAGATCATCATGAGAATGCTTTCTGAGAAACAGAGGTTTGACTGAGCTTGGTTTTGTTGAGCTGAGCAGTATCTGCCCCTGCTCTGTCTGTACTATAAGTCTGAAGTGGTGATTGTGGGTGCCGTGGAAACCTCACTGTGCTTTGCCAAATTGGCAGTATCCATTTGCACAGCAATGGCCACGTGCTATATATGTATTTATTTGTTTTCAAGGGAAGCCACTGTCCGGAGTTTGTGCCTCCCCGATTTTCCTGAGCCTGCAGAGCTGGTCTGGAAGTATCTGGACCTGTCTACCTTTCTCCTTCTTTACCTCCTGCCTCTACTCATCATCACTGTCACCTACACGCGCCTGGCCAAGAAGCTGTGGCTCCGTAATGCCATCGGAGACATCACCACACAGCAGCACATCACGCACCGCAAGAACAAGAAGAAGAGCATCAAGATGCTGATGCTGGTGGTGGTGGTCTTTGCTGTCTGCTGGTTCCCTCTCAACTGCTACGTGGTGCTTATCTCCAGTCTAGGCATCAAGACAAAGAACTCCCTCTATTTCTCCCTGCACTGGTTCGCCATGAGTAGCACCTGCTACAACCCTTTCATCTACTGTTGGCTGAATGAGAACTTCCGCTCAGAGCTCAAGTCCCTGCTGTGCATGTGCCAGAAGGTACCTCAGGCTCAGGACAATGCGCTGCCACCTGCGGTCACATCCTGCCATGAGGCGTGGATGGAGCAGGCCAGGTACCGGAAGGCACCTGCCTCACAAACCATTTGCTCCACTGTAAACATCCAGACTGCCAACACAGGCCTGTGAGCTGGAGGGCTGAGGTGAGTTGTCTGGTTCCGTGGATGTCAATGGGACCTCCTCGTTTCTCCTCCAGCAATGATGGTGTTGCTCTGGTGTTTTACTTCTGACTTTCGTCATGAACCACAGTAGCAACCCCTTCACTCAGTGTGGTGGCAGCAAAGCCTCTTAAGCACCCTCCCTATAAGCCCACAGCTGCAGCTGTTCCAAGGAGCAGGAGACATGGTGGTCCACAGATGGTCATTTGCTTTCAGGGTTTCCCATCTTATTACTATCAGAGGGAGGGGGACCTGTGTTTCCATCATTGCTCATGCTGTCCCAAGTCACTGGCCTGTCTCAGCACTCGTAACAGGGGCCATGCCATGAGGGCTTTGCAGAGCAACAAAAATGGACTTGTTCTGGGGCAAAGGACTTGGACATCCAGGCTGATTCCATCCATATGGAGTTTCAGCAGATTATACCAAAGCCTCTCAGCGAGCAAAGGGTCGTCAACAGCACTGTCCCCTTCAGAAGGTGCTGTTCCTCCTCCCCTCACTCCTTCTGCCCTGGCTTTGTCCCACCCTTCCCTCTGCCACTTCTGGAGCTGCAGAGCTAACATCCCTGGCCAAGGGGAGTGAGAATGCATGCTGGACATCATCATCAGCAGCCTCAGATGGCACTTGGGGGGGTGGGTTTAGCCCATTGTGAATTTATTTTTGGTTTTATTACGAAGATATTAATTCTGGAAATAAACCTAAAGTGCTAAACAAAAGCCACAAAATATTTCATCAGGGCTGTAGCATTCACTAGCTAAAGAATTAAATCATTCTGCATAATTACTAATTGCTGTGAAAGGGTTTCATTTAAACAATGGAATTGACTGCCTAAGAGGGAAGGTTTTGTTTACAGTCCTGGGGAAAAGACAGTTTAATTTAGTTATGCTTGGGAGGCAGGTGGAAAAAAAGGATACAGAATAAAGGAAATATTTAGTACATGACAGAGAGAAGGGAAAAAAGGAAAAGACAGGGAAAAGAGACATTAAAGGCAGAAAGAAACCAGAACTGCATGTGATTCAACCAGCAGTGTGGAGCTGGGCACTGGGGAGCAGGACCTGGAAGGATCTCCCAGCCTGGCCAGAGATGCCCCTTTCTCCATCATACCATTCCTCTTAAAAATTGCACCAATATCAGATTTCTCCTCTCAACTTCCCTGGTTGAGCTTGAGCAAGAGATTTTTCTTACTTGGAAAAGAGACAAAAGACAGGAAAATATTTATTACTTGTCTTTTTTTATATATCTCTTGCAGGGATAAAGTTTTATGTGTTTTGAGCCCCGACAGTTCCTGGGTAATCCGTCAAGACTCAGTGCTGCAGTGGTGACAGAGGGGCTCTGGTACGGGCCAGCCAGGGCAGCTACTTTCTGATCCTCAGACCTGAAATTCATAGGAAAAAGCTGTACTTGTAGCAAAAAAAAAAAAACCAAAAACAACAAAAAACCAAATAAACTGCTTTGGATAAGAAGTATTCAGCACTGGTGCAGGCTGAGTACTGTGTGACATTCTGAGCCCTGTAATTTAAGAAGAATGTGAAGGTGCTTGAGCATGTTCAGAAAAGGGCAAAAAACCCCGTGAAAGGTCTGGAAAGGATGTCGTATGTAGAGCAGCTAAGGAGTCTGTATTTGTGGAAACCAGGTGATGGTTTTCAGTAGTTCAAAGGCAGTCATGGCTGCTCAGGGTCAGGGATGCTCCTGGTCTACCCTAGCGGTAGTCTGAACTGAGCTTCTGCCTGAGGAGGAGGTGGGGGGAATGCTGGGGGCGAGGACATGCTACCACCACCTTCCTGGGGAAGGATAAGACAAGCCAAAGAAAGAAAACTAGAGATTGATTTTTTCCTACTATTTTTTTCCCCATTTGCACAGTGCGAAGGAACAGCAGAAAGGAGGGGAGAGGTCCTTGCTCCCAGGCCACTTGATCCCACTCAGCCATGTCCCTCCACTTTGGGTGTTCATTGCTACATCTGCATGAGGAGAAGACAGCAGAGCATCATGAGTAGCAGCAGCAACAGATGAACACACAATCCCTAAGACATTTCACTTGGAAACCAACAGGTGTGTGAATATGGGAATTTAAAGCAGCCTGCTGCTGGCTGCAGGTGCTGCCCTCTCTGTGCTCAGAGCAGGGTCTGTTTTCAGTTGAAAAACATCCTTATGAGTTTTTCAGAATGTTAAAAGTATCTCTAATTAATGAGCATTACTCCATTTAATTGTTAAGTGAAACTGCCATTTGCTTTTTTACTGTTGTTGGCTCTTCATCAGCTTGTAGTGAATGGCCTTCAAACTACCACGTATTCCCTTGTATCTAAATAGTTTATATTCTCTGTGGAAAAGTGGTTATCAGCACGGAGCTTTCATTTTCCACTGCAGAGTCTAGCAGCCCATTTCCACACAAGTATCTTCAAATGTTTAAGAGACTTTTCCCCAAAGACTGCAAACCCCATCACCCTTTATCCTTTGGTTCATGTAACACAAGCTTTTAACAGGAGCGGATGTAAAATCAGCAGAAAAGAGAGTTTAGTTATGGCTGGGTAAAGCATGGAGTTACTCAGGACCTGGTCTGGAGGCAGGTGGGGAGAGCTCTGTGGCACCAAACCCTACCTGGTGCTTGTGCTGGATCTTGAGGACTTGATCCGGGCTACTGAACATTCCCAACATGCTCTCACAGGGCCCCTTCAGAAATCAAGGGTCAAACTCACTCTTTCGAGTAGGTAACAGGATTTACACCGAGTAATAAGTAAAGAGTACCCATCTCTAGTGCTGTAGCAGTAGTGCTAAATGAGCCGTGATAACAGCATCCATCAGTTAATAAGGCAGACACAGAGCTTGGTTAGCTGTGATTCATGGGCTTATTTGCTGTTCACAGTTATTTGACGGATTCAGACACATGAAAAACACCACTGGTGTCACCCAAAACCATGAAGAGTTCAACGAAAACATTCCCATAAAATCTAATCCTGGATGAGCATGTTCTTTATTTGCTATCTTACTGCCCCAAACAAAACTTTCCAGGCATTGTTTAATAATGCCCGCAAAGAAAACATTTCACAAAGAAATAATGGAAGATGGAAAATCACATTCTGCCTCCCAAAGTTCTCTGTAACAGCTCAGGGAGCTGTGCATGCCCCAACACCCAAGCAGCAGCACGGGCACAGACTTCTAGCGTGTTGTTCTCAGTGTGCCTATGATGCACAGTGCACACAGTTTCTAAAGAGATATTTCTGTGTTTTCTTTCAATGTACATATTATATCTTGGGCTTCTATGAAATAACTGTAGCAACAACGGTAACACTTCCATGACAAAGGTTAAGCTATGGCTCTTGTGATTCTGAAATGAAATCTGCCTTGCTGTTGGGAAATTCTGGGGTACAAGCCAAGCCGGGAATTAAATCCCACCCCCAGGGTTGTTTTACAGTGCAAGATGGATAGATAGAGATTTTCAGTAGTTTGTTGAGATGCCTGCCCAAGAATACTGGTAGAGACTGGCTGCTGGTTTCCTCAGAATCAGCCACATTCCTGGTAAACAGCAAGCAAACCTCAAAGTTGTACCTATCATCCCTTCGGTAGGAGAGCTGTTCTGTGAGCCCCTGTCACATACATACCTTCCTAATCTTTTTCCAGAGGAATCAAAGACCTCATTCTGAAGTAGTGGGTCTCTTCACACTCCCTTGATCTTCTGCTAATCCATGCAGTTAGCTATCTCTCCCTGTGAAAAGTAACCTAGCTGGTTCTCCTTGGACCTGTCAATTGTAGCATCCCTTCACTATTCTCCCCTAAATGGGCATGATGTAAGAGCTGACTGTATTTCATCTTCATAATGGTTTAGCTATCTAGACTGGTAATTATCAGTGCCTGGTTCAAAACCTCATATGCGTTGTCTGTTGCCAAGAGGCTGTTGCATCACTTGATGCATCACTTGATGCCCTGGTTAACACAGCAGCACTCTCTCAGCAGCATTCAGGCAAACAATAGGAGGCACAACATAATAAATAAAAAATAAAGTGCATTATGTCATGCATTTGGGCAAGGCATGGTAACTGCAGGGCATGAGATCACATCTCTGCTGAGCTGCAGGCACAAGGCTCGCTGCAGCAGTCAGAGAGCTTACCTAGCCAAGCTCTGGAAAAGCGAATCTAAGAAATTCTGCTTTTGCTCAAACAGGTCATGGTCTGAGCCAGCTCAGCAGGTTAATAGATGCTTAAACATTCATTCATTTGCTTTCAGAAACACTGCTCACCTGTGGGAATGGCTTCCCGAGTGGTGCTGGTGGCAGCCCAGCGTCCAAGACCAAGGAAGAGCATCCAAAAACAGGACCACCACTTCCTGCTGGGGGTTTCCTCCCCATTCCCAGCAGAGCCATGCTACTGTTCTGCTGTGGGTTTGTGCAGAGATCTGTCTGGCTGAGGCAGCAGTGACACAAGGGCAGCAGAAACAGCATGATTTGATCCCTGCAGCGTGATGGTGCAGCAACCCTGAGGCCAGAGGGCTGGATGGGAACAGGGCATGGGGGAAGAGTCCCCTGATAAGCCTGTACCACCTGAAGAACCCTCATACTGCTCACATGTTGTGGACTGAGCTGTCACCCTGCAGCTTTGGCAGCAGCAGCAGTGCTGTCCTTGGCAGTATCTGTCCCAGGCAGGAAAAGCCCCAGGAGGCAGTAGGTAGATTATTAAAACACTGGGTTACCAGAAGTCTGCTCTAAAGAAACCATTTGAGCACACACAAATCAGTATGCAAAGATGCAGCAGAGACATGTCTGAATGATGAACAACCCAGATTTATTAAAGTTAGCTCATGCCAAATGCATCTAACTGCCCTCAGCATAGGTGCTGATGAAGACAGTAACACAGAACATCCTGCAGGGAATACCTGAATTTCAGAGACAAATCTCCCTGTATAGCACCATCACATAACGAACAAAGAAACCACAAAATGCCAACTCGATTAACAAAAAGCAAGCAGAAAGAAAACCAAAACACGAGTCAGAG